AGAGAGAGAGAGAGAGAGAGAGAGAGAGAGAGAGAGACGAGTGAAAACAATGGGATTAACGCATGTATCCGCCCGGCTAACGGGATGCTTTGCGTTTTTATTTTGCAGAAAGCGGATGGAATGATTCAATTCTCAAAGGTGGAGTTCCAGTACCCGACGCGGCCGGAAGTGCAAGTGCTCAAAGGGCTGAATCTAATTGTGAAGCCGGGTCAGATGGTGGCCTTGGTAGGTCAGAGTGGTTGCGGCAAGTCCACCTGTATTCAGCTGCTGCAACGACTATACGATCCGCTGTCCGGCGACGTGACACTAGACCGACGTGACATCTCGTCCGTCTCGCTGGCCACGCTCAGATCGCAGCTCGGGGTCGTCGGTCAGGAGCCGGTGCTCTTTGACAGAACGATAGCCGAGAACATCGCATACGGCGACAATTATCGACAAGTGTCTATAGACGAAATCATCGAGGCTGCCAAGAAGTCTAACATTCACAACTTCGTGTCCTCGTTGCCGCTGGTGAGTCGACGTCGCGTCGCGCTGCCGAAAAAGTTGGCGGAAAAAGTAATTCGGAGGGGAAACTTCTCGCGAAACTTTCGGCGAAGAAGTTTATTTGTTTTATACAACTAAAAGATTTAATAATACATTATAATTTTTATTATTTAATTTTTTATCTTCACACCAATATTCCATTAAATTTCGCGCAAAACCGCCGAAAACGGGTCGGCTAATGAATGTTTCACCCTACTTGTAATTTTGTTGTACACTATTTTGTAGGGATGAGTTGAAACCTAATTTTTAAGTCCTCGCAACTCGAATCTGGAACTTTGTGAGGCCAAGAAACTTTCAAAACTTGAAATTATTCAAACCTGAAATGCTAATTAAAAAAAAGAGGATAATTGTGCATAAAACGAATTCTTGTATAATTACACTTTTCATTAAAAAATCAATCTTTCAACACTCAAAACATGATTATCTCAAATATTATTATCTTTATTGATGGAAAACAATTTTATCAACAATTAGTTTACAATTATCAAAGGAATTATTTTTTACCAAGAATCAAAAATTCAAACAAATCTTTCAGAAAATCAAGTTTATAAATATTCATTAGACATAATTATATAGAATATTAATATCATATAGAATAATTAAATAGAATATTATTAAACATAATTAAATATAATTAAATATAATTAAATAGAATATTGATTAAACATAATTAAATAGAATAGTAAACATAATTATATAGAATATTTATTAAACATAATTAAATAGGATATTAAATTGAAATGGAAATTGGATTAAAATAATTATCTTTGAATATGAAAAAACTAAAACTAGATAAAATTTTGAATTCTTTAGAATTTTTTCTATTATCTTTCTATTATCTTTAGAGTTTTATCTATTATCACCACTGAACTGCTTAAAAAATTTAGTCAAGGTTTTTGTTCAAAAATATTAACATCCGAACTCTTTCTGGGTCTATTCTACTAATCTAGTATTCTCTCCATATGCTGTAGCGTGCTGTTGCGTTTCAAAATCTCTGTCTCAGGTTTTAAGAGTTTCAAATCACAAAAATAACACGAAGTTTAGGGTCCTTGAAACTTGAAATCTTTCAGAGTTTTGAAGTATCCCTTCCTTACTATTTTATACGGTATACATGTTTGCATCTGTTGAATTTCTGGCGTTTCTTCTACTCTTCTCGTGTAAGACAAAAATCGAATACTTGGTCTGTCCATTATGTTCAGGGTTACGACACGAGACTAGGAACAAAGGGCACTCAGCTCTCCGGGGGGCAGAAACAACGAATAGCGATCGCCCGCGCTCTCGTTAGGAATCCTCGAGTTCTGCTGTTAGACGAAGCCACTTCAGCTCTGGATACTCAAAGCGAAAAGGTGAGGACAGTCACTATGTTATTATCCTCAAGGAAGCGACTCGCGAGTAATCTCATCGACGCTGCTCGACCACTTCCTTTTTCCACCCTATGATTGCGCGTATCAGGCAAGATCAGGCGAATCTCTCCCTTCGGTCACGAGTGTGCGGCTCCCCGAATAGCGTACGAGCAAGAGCTACGGAAAGTACGTGGGACGAAAGCGCGGAGATCACTTCTGCGGTATGCAAACGTGTCCGCGGGTCGTTGCATAATAATCGCTGGAACGTGAAAGTCGCTTATTATTAAACGCGCGAGGCGAGACTCGCTTTGTGCGCGACTCCCGGAGCAGAACGCTCCGCGTCGGAATGAAGTGTCCGGCTTTCGCTTTTTGCTCAGTGTAGCGTATACGCTTCCTATCAATTAACGGAGCACCGTAACTCCCATCCGCGACGGCGGCGTCGTCCGTCTCGCCGAGACGTGACGTCCAGGTCGCTCTGCCGCGAGCGAGATCGACGGCGCCGGGATTGCAAGCCCGATTGAAAATCTTCACAAGGGACACGAAGATCGTCCTCGCGGGGGACGGACGAATTAATGGACGTCGAAAGTGGAATCGCGCCGCGGTTTATTTCCGCCCCGCGCGGCTCCCTCGGGCGCCGTCCGTGGATTTTCTCCGCGATTTCCCGCCGCCGGAGGATTATCGCATCTCATAATTTTGCCCGCAACGGCAAATTAGCGTCCACGTCGTGCTTCTGAGCCCTTCAATCGGCTTCAATAAGCGAGGGAGAATATGCTCGCGCCAGACGCGATTTTTCTCCGTCGTTTCGTAGCTTGCGCGGGGCGTGAGAAACATTATTCAAACTAGCGTGCCGTTTATTTACTGCTACTTGAGAAGGAAAGGTGCGAATTTCTCGCGAGTTATTTTCATGATCGTTTCGACCGAAAATATATTGCTTCAAGTCAATATCTGAACTCTCGGAACGCTGAGAGAGAGAGAGAGAGAGAGAGAGAGAGAGAGAGAGAGAGAGAGAGAGAACGGTGAAATAATTAATTAGATACTTTAGACTTCGGCGTGTAGTAAAATGTGTTTGGTCCTAGCTTCCGGGTTGATGCTACTTTATTATTATAGATTTGTTTTCAACGTTTCGTGAACTTTTCACATGAAAAAAGAGAAATTTTGTTGGATTAACCAAATGTTTGGTGAAATGTTTGGACAAACCAAAATTCCGGTTGAAATTGCCAGAATTCTGTTCAAGTTATCAAGATTCTAATTAACGCTAGTACCCTAAATATTAAACGCTTACGTAAACTCTAAACATGGATAAAGTTGACTTTTTGCTTATAACTTCTGAAAAAGTAGTTAGAATTCAATACTTTTTTCAATCGATGCAAAAACATCGAGGAATATAAATCTATTAGTGCTTCTGCGACTTAAAATTGAACGAAATTATAATAAAAAAAAGGAACACAAATTTTTAAAAAAGGTAACATTTGAAAAGTTGATCTGGCTAAAATTTTACTCGTATTTAGGATTTTAAGAGTTAACCAAATAAGATTTTTGGCTAACTAAATTTGTTTAACTTGAAAAGTCTTGTTAACTTGAACAAGATTCTAGTAACTCCAACTGAAATTCTGTTTCGTTCGTATTCTATCAGATACTTACTTAATTTAACCAAATTTTTTTTCGTACAATTCACTTCTACAAGAGGCTTCTTCAGTAGAGGAAGGAAACCTGAGATACAGTCTCAAGTTGTTCCTCTACTGAAGAGGTCTTCAGGAAAAATAAACAGGAATGTTCGGAAGAGCATGTCGAAAACAAATCCACAAAGGACGCGCCACTAAATCCGCAAAACAGACCAAGCAGATAATTAATTGCGAAATTTTTCCGTCCACCGTGCGATCACAAAGCGAGTGTCCGCGCGTTTCTACAGTGTGGAAAAGGAGCGACTATTGAAACAGACGTAGCCCGCGCGAACGTCGCGCAACTATGTGGCGCGCACGAAACTATTTCCGATAAGCAATATAACGAGCTCGCGAGCGTTCGAGTGCGCGAGTGCGCGCGATAGTCGGCAGTCGGCGTTGGATAATAAATATCAGAGTATTTACAGTTTGGGCCACTAGAATATCGATTGTGCGGATTCCGTCCCGGATCGCCGAACTATCGCGCCGCGCGCGATCGTGCTCGCGCGAAGTGGATCGCCGCAGCGATGAATATTAACGAGACTCGATGGATCTCGATGAAAAATGAAAAGGGTGAATCAAAGAGCGCAGCGGAATAACGCTCGCGGCCGGCATATTACGCAGCTCTACACACCGACGCCGGTTTTGTATGATAATTCTCGCGCGTTTGATTAAAACTCGCCAATACACGGATCGCCAGTCGACTTTCATCGCCGTGGACGGGGACGGCGGTGACGTAAATTGCGTAATATGCAATCACATCTTGTGATTTCCGTCATTTTCGCAAAAAGTAATTCTGTTAATAAGAAAAAATAAGAAAACAAGCACGGTAATCTGCGCGACTAGGACTCGCATCGCGATGTGGCGTCGCGCAAATATACACGGTGCAGGCACTGGAGATATTATTTGATTAAATATGGTTGCCGCAACAAAATATCAATATTATTTCTCGTATCTAAGTACACACACACACACACACATACACATACACATGCAAAAGGTCGTAGAAACGCGAAAGTTGTTCTTTGCTGTCTGTCCACACGTGTTTGAACGGAACTCTATGTTCAAACTCCATAGATCTTTGATCAAACTCTCTATGACCAAACTCTATAGATCTTTTAAACATATTTGTTCTGCAGACCACAGCAGAATATAAAAACATTTTTTCGATCGAGTCAACCGTATATACTGAGAATATACTAATCGAATTATGTACACTGAAAAAAAAATACTTAAAAATACTTATTTGTGGGGTATAAAGTTTATTTCTGTGAAATAAAATTTATTTCTGTGAACATACTTTGTATCCCAGAAAAACAAATTTTCAAGTGCTTTTTTCTCAATGTATCATAATAACTGTAGCTGTGAGTATATAAATGAGCATATAACAGCAATTTTTGATGCAATATCTATTAAACTTGAATTCATAAATTTTGTTTTTATCCACAGAGGATGTAGATGTAGCAACCATAACAGCTGCCTCCGTGTATAAATTCTTTGTAATCTTTTTCTCATAAAACGCACAGTCGCAAAACTCCTCTCTTTTCTTTTCTCATCCGCCTCTCTCGTCTCTCTGTCGATTGGTCGAAAATACCGAGCAAACCGGCTGCAACGCTATTGCCGATATTATCAGCGCTAACAATCGGAAATGTTCGGCTTTACAAGCGAACGGTTGTTGCACCCCGGTCGGGAAACAGCTCGTCGGTCGTAATGAATTTCGCGGGAATATTGTTCTGCCCTGGCTTCACACACCCTATCCGGAAGGGGACAGGGGGCTAGCGAACGACCCTGCTAACTTCATCCCTCCTTTCGTTGCTGGTTCCACAAAACGAATGCGGGAAAGTGCTTACGTTCGATTGGATCCGCAAGCGCCGCAAATCGCTTCTCCGATTTGAGCCGCGCTTCGCGTGTTATAGCACGGTCGATCCCGTTAATTGGCTCGAATTAATCACGATGAATTAATTTGGAAGACGCGTCGAACAATCAATATCCCGCGAACGGGATAAATGGACGACATAAGCGAACAATTTTCCTCGATTCAGAGGCGAGGCAATTGGAAATAACGTAAAGGTACTAATGCCTGGACACTAATAACATTGTCACCTAACTATGGACGTTCTTATTGTTTTGTTTTGGTCTTTTTCTTAATAGGAATATTTAAACTTTGGACACAAAACATATGTACATTTTCTGTATTAACATCTACATATATTGATTCTATATATACAATTTCTATATATATTTTCTATATTGAAAGCTTAAATATTCGTATTTAAAAACTACAAAACACGAAAAATGTTCCGAGTTAGGTACCAGAGTTATTAGTGTCTACACGAGAAAAATTTTATGGTATAAATTAATATAGAACTTTGTGACCCAGAAATAAATTGACGTATTCTGCAATAATTTTTACTACCTTTCCATTTCACATATACTATTTACTATATTTACTATTTACTATTTACTATATTTCTATATTTGCTATATAAATTGCTGTAGAAATTTGCTATATTTCTAACAAGATTTATTACGTTTCTTAGCAAGATAGACTATTCCTGGACTACTGAAGTAAAACTGGAAATTTATATGAAAAGGAATTACAATATTCTCTTTGTGCAGATACTAGTGATTTTATTTAAATTAATTTTCATTTTATAAATTTTATTTAAATTATTTTTAATTTTGTTAAAATTTCCTGTTGCCTGAGAGCGATTTAATTTCGAATCGAATATCAAGTAGATCTTATTTTTAAATCGCATTGGCGCAATGTGCGCATCGTAACAAAGGATCCTCTTGGCGGTCGCGGTTGTTTGAGCAACTTGCATTAAACTTGATGCGGCATCTGCATTATCTCTGTGTAATAATATCCTTCGCGCGCGTACCACATAAAAACTCGCACGATGATTAAGATGTGTAAGGCAAGGGTGTATAATGCAACTATCCGACGTCGTTTACATTCTCACCCCCGCCACCGTCGTCGTCGTCGTCGGTGACGACGGTGGCGGCTTTCTTACAACGTGCCCTCTGGAAACACCCTATCATATTATCCCACTTTGTGCGTGCAGGTCGTACAGCAAGCCCTTGACAAAGCCATGGAAGGCAGAACGTGCATCACCATAGCCCACCGTTTGGCTACTATAAGGAACGCGGACGTGATCTGCGTGGTTGATAAAGGCGCAGTGGCCGAGATGGGAACTCACGACGACCTGATGGCGGCCGGAGGTCTGTACGCTCAACTACACGCTCTACAGGAAGCCGCGATCGAGTAAGAGAAGCGCGTCTTAGTAACGGAGCCTCCGGCGTCAGATTCCGTGTTGGCCTTGTTCGTCGTCGTTGTGGGCCGCGTTCTCAGTGGCAAACTCGGAGACGGTTCTCGGCGACGCGTGAGAAAGGAGACGGGATGAGAAGCGAAGAGGAGCCACGGTAAGACCATGGAGCGATTTCAAGTGGCAGATCGCCGGAAGGCTGCCGACCACGTAACACCGAGGGACGTAAAGCTGGACGGGATTGAGGACGGATGTTCAAAGGACGGACGCGAGTCAGCGCGGCGATCCTCGTGGAGGTTCATGTAGACGGGACACGTTCACGGCGCGATCCGCTGCGTCGACGCGCCGATCTTCTCGTCTGTATTCCTGCGACGTGCAGGTAACGCGACGACTACGGCGGTAGTTCGCGCGCGCGCGCGCGTGTTTCAAGTTATACACGATGTAAAGATTCCCCCTTCGCGGAATCCCGTCGACTTGACGGGATCAATCGCGTTGGAATAGATCGAGCGGACAGTCTCTGGTGTCTTTTCCTTTTTTATACCCTGTTTGTCTGCTTACTGTTTAATTTAATTCTGAACCAGTGACGCGGGTTGAACGACCCACACCGATTCTGATCACGAATAGCTTTCCATTATGTTATCCATTATTTAGTATCGTTTTACATTCATCGGCACGAGCGCGAATGGGATACGACGCGGCGTGATCGTTCAGGGAGGACTCGCTTCATAGTTGAGCCGCGACGTCGGATCTTCGTCACGTAACTTACTCGCGCTCCGCCGACCGTTATCTCTCGATGTCCTCATCAGTCGCGTTCGCATTTATCATTTCTCTTGATTAGTTTTGTACAGGACGCTTGCGGCTGGTAGACTTGAGTCTCACCCGTTAAGTGATGTTTCACCGAGGACCACGCGCTGCTTCTCCTTCGGGCGGCCACGTTACTTCATTAAGCGCCGTAACTCGCGCTACCGACTTAACGATCCATCCTTTCGGAACGATATAAAACGCGTCGCACACGCGGCATTATCCGTAATAGCAGCGACGTAATAGACTTTACCGTCTCTCCTCTCTCCGCCACTACCTTGCCTCTCCCCCTTCGCTCGTGCCATCGTCGTCATTCGCACGAGCGTCTCGACTTTCCTCCGTGGCGCATTTTTACTCAGGTGATAATATTTCTGTGCGAGCAAGCGCGCGTGTGTACATACACTCGTATGTACGCTGTGCGAAATGATATTCGGTTCTGAACTCGGTTTCTAAACAAATAATCAAACAAATAGGTTTCTAGTACAAATAATCGTTACATCGAATAACCAATTTCGAAATCAATGCGTGCATCGATTCAAATAATTATTTGGGCCGCGTTAAATGGTATTCTATTCATTATATATATATATATATATATATATATATATATATATTGTATATGTATAATATGTCATTTACCTGACCATATATAGTTATGTAAGAATGATCCAAATCACAAAATTATGATTCTTGAGTTTAATTATTAATAAGTAATCCATACTTCTTCCTACATAAAAAAGAAAGACTCCAATTTTATAGGCGTCAAAAATTAATTACAAAACAGTTTTTATTTTCTACTAGTTGCAGAAAAGTTCTTACCAATGACTTCCTTTTCATCCATTTTTTAAGAGTTAAGAGTTATCAATAAAGAGAAGAACATTGACCATGCTTGACTTTTTCAACGATTACGAAGAATCTCTCAATGTTTTCGATACTTTTTAAATCTTGTATCAAATTTTCATCTGTTTTTTCGAAATGTGCTCTCCATGTAACTTGAATCATTCTTGCACAACCACGGTCATCTGTGACAAATGAACGAAACACCGTTTCACGCGAACCAAACAATTATTCGAACTATTGAGAGTACAAATTAGTTCGGTCCGTTTTCAAAAAATGGCTCCGACTGTTATGAATGTTTCATAGTGACAGCTGATTTCGGTGGTTTCAGAGAGATTAGACATCTGTCAAATAGTCGATAACATTCAGTTTATATCGCTTTGAGTTTCATACAAAATCCCTGTTTTTTACTGTGTGAATATGTCAAATTTTGTGTTAACTAAGCAGAATTTGCGGGAGGTTTTAGTTTTCTGCTTTAATTGGAAGAAAAGTGCTGAAGCGCATCGAATGCTTGTAGAAGTTTATGGTGACAATGCTCCAACTGATAAATAATGTAGGGAATGGTTTCGACGTTTCAAGAATGGTGATTTCAGCGTTGAAGATAAGCCTCGCTCTGGACAGCCAAAAAAATTCGAAGACAAAGAATTAGAGGCATTACTCGATGAAGATCCGAGTCAAACGCAAGAGAAGCTTGCAGAATCATTGGGAGTTACGCTTTGTTGATTCGTTTGAGCCGTGCATTACGAGAAAAACGGCCGGAATACGAGCAAAGACATGACAAAGTTATTCTTCTGCATGATAACGCTCGGCCTCATGTCGCAAAAGTCGTCAAAAATTATTTGGAAACGCTCAAGTGGGATATTTTACCGCACCCGCCGTATTCGCCGGACATTGCTCCTTCTGATTACTGGTTATACGGATGCAGCACGATTTGGCAGGTCACCGGTTCACTTCTTTCGCAGAAATCGAAAATTGCCTCCTAATTTGGATCGCCTCAAAAGACGAGACATTTTTTCGAGATGGAATTCGAAAATTGCCTGAAAGGTGGGAAAAAGTAGTAGCCAGCGATAGACAATACTTTGATTAATCTGTTCATTCATTTTGTTCTGAAATAAATGCATTTTTGACCACAAAAAAACGGACCGAACTAATTTGTACTCCCAATAATTCACGCGTCGATTTCAAAATCGGTTATTTTGATGTAACAATTATTCGCGCCGATTCCAGGAACCGCGTTCAGAACCAAGTATCATTTCGCACAGCCCTAATGTGCACTACACGATTGCGATCTTCACTGCGAATGCCGTCGCGACGAGAGAGCTGCACAGTTCGGCCGTACCGCGAGGAAGGAGGAGAAAAGAAACGGTCGACGCAACAAACGAGAATTTTGACAAAATTCACGGTCTTCGGCTTCGCTAATGTTAAAGAAAGGTCGCCGCAGGCGAAGTATCTGAAACGCAGCGTATCACGTCAATTGAACGCGAGTCGATACGACGGTTCCGGTAGGCGCAATTAGCGTAATTAATACTATTGATCTACGCGCTCTTCGCGCTCCGCTTGATTAGATAGACGGCGTAGCCGAATCGATCGACTCCGGCGGGACATAACTCGCGTAACAAGGCGTGCAAATGGCGACAGGTGTTCGGAGCTATAAGGGCGGTGATGTGCGTGAGAGGTGCTCTACGTCGCGTAATTTCGACAATGCCAACGCGCGCGCACTCCGGCGACGCAGAGAGCATGAAAAATGTATAAGTATTTCTCTCGAAATATACACGTTTCGCCTGTCCCCCTCCCTCCCTGCCGCCTTTCCTCCTGGCGTCCCCTCTCTTTTAGCTGAAAAATTTAGATGTTCATCTTTATTCCCTTATGAAGGAAAAAGAGGAGAGAGAGAGAGAGAGAGAAAGGGAGGGAGGGAGAGAGAGAGAGAGAGAGAAAAGATGAAAAGAGAAATTCTCTTCTCGCTCGGATACTCGGATGAAATATAACGAATTCAGCCGCGAGGCGAGACGTCGGATACGAGAGCCCGCCTGGGAAACGTAATAAATCGTCGGCCTTCCCAATGGTGCCTTAATAATTAGACGTTCGATATAGCCGTTTTCTTCGCGCGATGAGGGTGCAGATGAGCACGACGAAGGAGACGAGCATAACGTCAAGAAGAATAAGAAACGCGCTTAGGGTGTTTGCGTGCATTGAGGAGGAAAACAGAGAAGACCGCGGCGAGATACGCGCACACACGTACACAGACGCACCTTCACCTTCTCACCTTTATTCCGCGTGCCTACTCTCCTCGTACAATTCAGAAGTACAGTTCTCGGGCTGCAAAGAGAGGAATATTTACTCAAAAATATCCGGAGGTTAACGCGCGCTGGAGAAGCGCGGCTTTTCTCGGAGAGAGATGTCTGGTGAAGCGACTTTCACCCCGTCATCGCAGCACAATGGCGCGCGCGACACGAGGGGTAGATAACCCCCCCCCCCCCCC